AGGGCTCCCAGGCTGCCAGAGGGATGTCTGACTGCCAACTTAGGCCCGATCCCCTGGGGAGTGGGCCTAAGCCAGCAGATGGTCATTCCCCGAGGGGCCCCAGACTGCGATAGGGCACAGACCGGGCTGAGGGACCCCCCCCCAGAGTGCACAAATTTTTGTGCACTGGGCCTCTAGTCTATATGTAAAAAAGCCAGCAACCATAACGCCATCACGACCAGAATGACCAGAAACCAGAACACTGTTGCCTCTCCCCCAGGCCAGCCCCACTCCCAGGGGGATGCCCCCCAATTGGAGGTGTGGCCAGCCTGTAAACCACCTGGATCCGGGGCCCTCATCAGGGCAGACCAGCCAGTCCCCCCCCCCACCATGCACCAGGCCTCTATTCCTATATAAAAAAAGGGTAATATGCAAATTAACCCAAAAGGCAGAATGACCAGAACAACCGCTGGACCAGTCACTATGAGGTGCACTGACCACCTCTTGGTCCCTTTCCCCAGCCAGCCTGATGGCAAACGGGGAACTGGGGGTAGGTAGTGGGGGATGCCCGCAGCACCAGGCCAAGGGCCCCACCCCATCGGTCGCCCCATACACAGAGGGTGACCTGCGGCTGGGGCAGGACCGGCGAGAGGGCAGGAACAGCCAACCTCTCAGTCCCTTCCCCCAGCGGTCAGGCACTGATCACCCAATGGCGAAAGGGGAACTGGGGGTGGGTAGTAGCTGGGGACAGGGCCGGCTGTGGGCAGCCGGGGAAGATGGCCCTGATCGCAGGCCAGGCCTAGGGCCCATACCTGCAAACGAATTTTATGCGCTCGGCCTCTAGTCCTATATAGTAAAAGGCCAGGACCATAAGTGTAATGACCGGAATGACTGCTCAACCAGTTGCCATGAGGTGCATTGTCCACCTCTTGGTCCCTCCCCCCCGACCCCACAGGCTCTAATCGCAGCATGGCGAATGGGGCACCATGGCAAATGAGGGGGGTGGTGGTAGGGCAGGACTGGGGACTGTTGAGCGGCAGCGGGCTGTGGGCAGTGAGCGGCGGTGAGCATTGCAGAGTGTTGTGGGTGGGGAGCATCGAGGAGCATCGCGGGGCGGCAGCGGGGAGCGCTGTGGAGCATTGCAGAGCGTCATGGGGCTGGGAGCGCGGAGGAGCATCGAGGGGCGTTGCGGGGTGGCGAGCGTCAGGGGGTGGCAGACATGGCCCTGACCACAGGCTAGACCTAGGGACCCTACTTGCACACGATTTCGTGTGCTGGGCCTCTAGTGTATTATAAAACAATGTTGCTAATAGATTAATTAAAAATAGTTTTAATTGCTTTTTAAGTTTGAGGTTTAGAATATTTTCATAAATTTGTATTTATGTGAACAGCCTGTTTCTGTCTCTTCCCCACCAGCATTCATTTTCCCTTTTATCTGAAAGAACTCCTTGTGTATAAAAGGAATTAGCCCTTGGGCATATACTTGGCAAATATTTGTCTCAGTTTGCGTTTTCTTTGTCTTTATGAGTCACAGGAGGGTGTAGGAAAGGTGCGCAGGACGCTTGGTGGTCAGGAGGCCAGGCGGGAGTCTGTGGAGAGGACAGTGCAGGCAGGACCCTGAGGAACTGGAAGGTTAGCACCGCGCAGAGTAGGGGGACATGGCCTGAGGCGGAGAGCGTGGTGAGGGGTGTGAGGGTGTAACTCAGGGATCACTGTCCACTCAGCATGGGGACCCCAGCTCTGCTCCCTGGGGGAAGGCACAGTCCATGGACTCTGGGAAGCACTGCTCATGCTGGCATGGCTCCTGCCTGGCGAGCTGCATGGGGACTGGGAGGGGCACTGGGCCACCTGCAAACACCAGAGGGACAGACACTGAAGTGGCTCCCGGGAGCTGATGCTGTGGCCAAGAGGTTCACTGGGAAAGTGCCTGTGGACCTTTCATGGGAGATGTTGGCTCCTGTGGGCCATGAGGCATGTCAGCCAGGCAATTCAGCTCCTGCCCCAGGAGGGGCTCACACCTTGAACTTGCACCACCATCTGCGGGCCATGAGAATGCGTGGGCTGCTGCCCTGGCAGCAGCGGGCACTGCTCCTCCTGGGCAGTCCCTTCCAGCTGCGCTTCTGGAAGGTGGATTCTATCCCAAATCTGAGCACACGTGGCGTCAGCATGCGTGAGTGACCCTGGGAGGCGCGTCCACCAGAGCACGCCCTCTGCGTGGAGAGGCAGGGTATAGTCCAGGGCCGACCGGTCAGCGTCGAACCATCAACAGTTAGATGTCAGATTGAGGAAGAGATTGCGATCGAGGTTCTGGAGGAGAGGAGGACCTTGAGGACTTCTGAATGGAGAGTTAACATGGTCAGATTCCTTTTTCTTTTTATTTTGTATTCATTTACTTTAATCCTCACCTTTTCCATAGATTTTTAGAGAGAGTGGAACGAAGGGAGGGGAGAGAGGGAGAGAGAAACATCAATGTTAGAGACACGCCAATTGGTTGCCTCCCGCATACGCCTGACCAGGGGCCGGGACAGAACCTGCCACCCAGGTGCGTGCCCTTGACTGGGACTGACTGGGACCAGCGGCCCTCGGGTGCATGGGCTGATGCTCTGATCACTTAGAAGCACTGGCCATGGCGCAGATTCCTTTTAAACCATGGTGTCAGGAGAGTCCCAGCCCACACTGCATGTGGGAAGGGAGGCAGGGGTCAGTTCAGGCAAATTGAGGGGCCGGGGCTCCACACACAGGGGCTGAAGTGGAGGGTGAACGCGGGAGGTGCTTCTGAGACAGGGGCCAGCACTGAGGGGGGGCCTGGGGCCATCGCTACCGGGGACATCAGTGCACCCCAGTGCTTCCTGCCAAGCCCCCAGCATGATCCAGCCCAAAGTTACCATAACTGAATTCTTACAGGTGGCTCACAATTTCTTCACAAAAAGTACAAGTCCCTTGAGATGGTTATGGCAGTAATAAGGGAAAGGGGGAATGCTCATTTGCAGGAAAACATCCACTTTACTTTTCTCTGGGATTAAAAATAAAGAAAAACTGACTTTTACACTGAAAATAAAGCAAGGGCATAGGTTTCCGTTCCTTTTCCTGACGTATCTGGTGTCCGTGGGGGCCATGCTAGCGTGCAGGAGCCAGGCGCAGACCAGCCTCCTCCGCCTCCCCTGCCTCCTGCAGCCGCGCGGCCTCCTCTCTCCCGAGGGCCAGCCTTGCTTTCTTACTATCCTTGGTCTCTCTGCCTTTCTTCTCGCCAACAAGCCCCCTTTCCCTCTGTGCACCCCAGGATTTGAATGGGTTAAACTTTAAAGTGGAGCCATGTCCATCTTTCCAGATGCACCTCTGACTTGGAACCGCTTTTGCCCTTGCGCCCTGAGAACTGAAAGACGCACCAATCACAGGAAATGCCCCTGAAGTGTGGGGAACGGAGTGGTTTCGCAGCTTCTGGAGCTGCCCGAGTGGAGCTGCGGCCAGCAGGACACTTATGTAGGAGCCATAGGAGCGCGTCTAGTTTCTGAGTCCTCAGAGCTCCCTGCTCTGGCGGCTTTTCTGCCCCCGCTCCATCCTCCACGGGGGTGGGGGCGGGGGGGGACAGGCAGCATGCACCTGCCCAGGCCTCCTGACCTGAAGCCGAAGCCGCTGCCACGGGCACCGCAGGCAGCCCTCCTCCGGGTAACCTGGCTTCCGGACAGCGCCGAAGCCGCTGGCACCACAGGCAGCCCTCCTCCGGGTAACCTGGCTTCCGGACAGCGCATCTCCGCACCTGCCCTGACTCGGCAATAAAGCACGAGGCACCCCGGCACAGCAGACCCAAACGGTAGCAGACCAGCCTCCCGTCAGAGTGGGGGGCCCCGCAATGCTGAAGGGCAGCTTCGTGCCCTCCAGGAAAAAGTCAGGGCACAATTGTCTTCCTCTCTCCCTTCAGGAGCTCAGTGTCTAACAACAGGCCACGTGCACTCAGGCCACAGGCCCCGCAGGGGGTCAGCACCACTGTGCACTCCCACCTCTGATTTCACAACAATTCGCACCCAGGATAAAGGGCTCCATGTCTGCTTTAGCTTCTGAGTGCGACCGATCATCTCTCTCCAAGGGTTTCCGTTCACTAGTCACCTACGGGCCTGGCAATGGACATGCAAAGTCACCTGAAGGCTAACCGCGCCCCTCCGGGGATTCCTGTCTTAGGAAGCGTGACCCACGGGTACATCAGGTGCGTGTGCGGTTCCCGGTGACATGAGCCACAGGAGGGTGTAGAAACGGGGCCAAGCACGCTTGGCGGTAAGGAGGCGACCGGAGTCTGCGAGAGGACAGTGTCCGGCAGGACTGAGGAACGGGAGTTAGCACCGCGCAGAGCTGTGCAGAGCCTGGGACACAGGCCCAGACGACGCGGGCTCGAAGCTTTCCCAGGAAGAAATATGTGGGCGACTCAAGAAGCCCAGCTGCATGGTGCATCTGAGGGTGCGGTTCCCCGCAAGGAGAGAGGGCGGGGAGTGGGCCATGAGCCGTCGGGTCTGGTGCTGGCTCGGGTGGAGGGCCTGAGTGGGCGACGAGCAAACGCAAACCGTGCCCAGACGTGGCCGGAGGGGATGGCGCGGCTCTCGGTGCTGGGAGCAGCAGGTGCTGTGGGCGGGTTGGGGCGGTGCTTCGGGGGCAGAGGGAGTTCATTATGTGGGGGTTCTGTGCAGTCTCCACTCGGGCACCTGGCACCTCGAGGAAGCCCCGCCTCGCCATCCTCCACTGTAGAGTGGCCCAGTATTCCTTTCCGACCACAGCTTCCGGCTCAAATCAATACCCAGGCATTCCCTCACGTCTGGGAGTTAGAAACCCGACGGTCTCACTGGGCTAAAACCGAGCTGTCAGCAGGCTGCACCCCTTCTGGAAGGCTCAGGGACAGTCCACGTCTTTGCCTTTTCCAGCTTCCAGGGGCACCCCAACTCCTTGGCTTGTCACCCCCCTTCTGTCTTCAATTGGCCAGTAGGCCTGTGTCACCGCCATCACTCTGACTCGCACGCCTCCCTCTTCCACAGAGAAGAAAGGACCCCGGGAGCCCCCTGGGCCCACCTGTAAGGGGGACCCTCTCCTTCAGGTCACGTGATTGGCAGGCCCCAGCCCCGGCCACACAGCATAGCATCTCCGCAGGTTTGGGGACCGCCATGCTCTCCTACGCAGACCTCCCAGTGTCCCTGTGAGGAGCAGGTGGGATGGCCACCGTGCGCCAAGCGCTTACAGGGCGCCTGGGTTGTCCTGGTGACGTTCCTCACCTGGAACACGTAGGGACAAGGTAGCCCTGGCTCCTAATCGTAACCGGAACCTCATCCCAGGTAAACAAGGATGTGGCCAATGGCCGATGTTTCTAAGTCCAGGGCTGAGCCTTCCTGCTTCTACCCAGGGCATCTGAGTCACCCGTCTGATCCCTCCTTCCTAATTCAGGTCCAGTCATATTGCAGGTGAGAGCACCCGCCCGGACTGTCCCTGGACCACGGCTTCAGCAGGGACCACGGCTTCAGCAGGAACCACGACTTCAGCAGGGACCACTGGAGCTCACTAAGGAAAGCGGCCGACTTGCTGGAATTAGCACAGACACCGTTACTAAGCAAGCAGGACACACCTCTGAAGAGAAGTCACAGACAGAACATGAGTCCGAGCCGCTGCAGGCCGACGGGCTCGCTGCGTCCACTCCACTCTGTTAAGCTCTGAGACCTAACCACGCGCTGATTAGCTTCAGCAGGGACCACTGGAGCTCACTAAGGAAAGCGGCCGACTTGCTGGAATTAGCACAGACACCGTTACTAAGCAAGCAGGACACACCTCTGAAGAGAAGTCACAGACAGAACATGAGTCCGAGCCGCTGCAGGCCGACGGGCTCGCTGCGTCCACTCCACTCTGTTAAGCTCTGAGACCTAACCACGCGCTGATTCTTCATCTTTTAATCACTTCGCACACGTGAGTGTCCTTGGAAGACACGACAGAGGGCAGCACATGCCTCGTCCCTGGGATTCTAATTAACTTGATCTTTTAACTCCCTGTGCTTCCTGGGCTGCTAAAAACAAAATCACCTGAGGGGGACTTCGCTTTCTTTTTCACAAATAAAACCTGTGCACCAGGAGCTGTGGTTTTTGACAAAATTACATTTTAAAAGTATGTTTTTGTTGGTTTCAGAGAGGAAGGGAGAGGGAGAGAGAAAAACATCAATGATGAGAGAGAATCATTGATCAGCTGCCTCCTGCACGCCCCCTACTGGAGATCGAGCCCACAACCCAGGCATGTGCCCTTTAGTCAAGGACCCTTTAGTCTGCAGGTCAACACTCTATCCACTGAGCCAAACCAGCGAGGGCGACAAAATTACATTTGATACTTATTTCAACTCACATGGAAATACAAAACATTGAATATGTACAAAAAGTTTTTCACAATAATAAAAACACAAAAAAGTAGCATATGTAGAAATTAATTTGCTTTAGCACAAGAACTTTGTCTAACACTGTTCAAAATATAAGAACCCTCTTCAGGGCCTCAACTGCTGCCTGAGACACCTTTTCACCTGGAGACCATGGTCATTAATCTATACAATAAAAGCCTATGCGACCATTACGGCGGAACGACCAGAACGACCAGTCGCTATGACACACACTGACCACCAGGGTGCAGACACTCAATGCAGGAGCTGCCCCTGGTGGTCAGTGTGCTCCCACAGGGGGAGTGCCGCTCAGCCAGAAGCCGGGCTCATGGCTGGCGAGCATAGCAGCGGTGGCAAGAGCCTCTCCCACCTCCGCAGCAGCATTAAGGAGCAGCGAGCCGAGCAGTAAGGACCAGCAAGCAGGCGCACAGTAAGGAGCAAGGGGTCCTGGACTGTGCGGGGAGTGGGCCTGGGCCCGCAGGCGGACATCCCCCTAGAGGTCCCAGATTGCAAGAGGGCACAGGCCAGGCTGAGGGACCCCCGCCTACCCCACCCCCAGTGCATGAATTTCGTGCACCGAGCATCTAGTATGTATGTATATGTATGTATGTATGTGTGTGTATGTGTATATATATATTATATATATGTATATATACATACACACACACACATCTACACTAATAAAAGAGAAACATGGTAATTAGCATACGACCGCTACCTTCCCATTGGCTAATCAGCATATCCTTATGCAAATTAACTGTCAGCCAAGATGGCGGCCGGCAGCCATGCACTGAAACGAACAGGGAGGCTTGGTTGCTCCAGTGACGGCGGACTCCAACGTTCCCCGCCTGACTTGCCGGCCTCTCAGCTGCAACTCTAAGCAACTATGTTGCAAATATAGAAGCTAAACAAAACCCTAGAAACCGGCTTTCAGTCAGCCAGGCTTCAGCCAGCCGGACCGCAACATTGTATCAAATACAGAAGGTAAAGGCCAGAAA